TAGTCAACATGTTTGGTCCAGTTGTACAGAACAAGGCTAAACACAACTCAGTGTGAGAGTGAAGAAAGCCCTAGCATGTGACAGACTTACTGCAGAATTCCAGCAAGCCTTGCCAGAACTAACACTGACTCCACAGACCCCACAGGACAGAAAGGGAAGGGGGCTACCAGACCGCCCATAAAGCCAGTACTTCATGGAACACAAAATGGCTCAGGGACACGACAACAAAAAAGAACTGTAGACCAGTCTCTCTGACAAACACAGATGCAAAAATCTTCAATAAAATACTTGCTAAGCAAATGCACCAATGCACAAACAGGTCAGCTACTACAACCAAGTAGGCTGCATTCCAGAGATGCAAGGTTGTTTCAATCAGCACTTCCTTTATAAATGACCCATCTCAGGCATTTTGCAAGAGCCCAGAAAACTGGTTCAAACAAATAGAAGGGAGCCCAGAATAGCCAAAAGCATATTGGAGGGACACCCTACAAAACTCAAGAGTTGGAAAATTCATACTTTACAATTTCTAATTTTCCTAGTAATTGCAAGGCTCCAGGTTCAATCCCTAGTACCACTACCCAAAAACACTACAAACAAAAAACCAAAATCACCTGGATGAGGGCTGAGGATGGAGCTCAGAGGTAAAGCACTTGCCCTAACAGGTATGCATCCCAGGGCAATATATCCAGTGCATCTATACCACCCCGGCACAACATCTAGCACTCTGCATACCCCAAGGCAGGACATAATACAGCCATCCACTAAGTACTCCTTCCTGTGCTGACAAGCCCAGCAGCTGCGGGGCAGGCAGCCTGGTGCATGCTGATCATTCACCACTGCTTTCAAGGCTGGCCACTCTAATAGCTGTGTTTTACAGGAGACTTCTACATAGGGAGCCAGAAGTATACAGAACACAGGACATAGGACAATACTATTCCTGTCCCTAGCAGCGAGTAAAAAGCCAAGTTCAAGAGCCAGGGGTTCTAGATCATGTCTGCCACAGTGTGGAAGCAACAGTGTCTACAAGTTCCAGCCCCAGCCTCACTGTGGCCCTGACCACTGCACCCAAGAGCTTTCTTCCAGGTTGGGTGGACACTTTCTGCCCAGTGCCTGGCACTTACGTGGTATCCATACCACCCCATCGCCAGGGACTGCTCCTATATGGGCAGACGGACTCACCTGGGTCACCTCAGCAGGGCCCCCTGAGCCCTAAGGAACCCACAACTATAAAGAAGGTTCTGGAGGGCACAGAACTGAAGGGAGCAACCAGCCTGGCCTGGGAAAGCTGCCAGGCACACGGCTTGAACAGGGATCCATGCACACAAACAGGGGCATGGGAACTCAGCCATTCTCTCTCTTGCAACCAGACACTGGCCCTCCTCTCTCTGACCGGATTCAAAAGAAAACAGGTTGGACCTAAGAAAAGCGACTACACCTGAGACAATCTTAGTGATGTAAATGATACATCAATAAACCAGACCTAAAGCCCATGCTGGAGACGCTGGGGGCAGCAGAGCAGTGTGCCCTGGGGCAGTACAGACAGGCAGGCATGAAACCAACACCCCAGACAAGGCTCAAGGACCCCAGAAAGGACAAGGATGGAGAGCAGACCCCTGCAAAGGCTTTTTGCCTTCCTGAAGCCCAGCACAGGACAGGCTCATAGCCAAGGGGCAGCCCAGTCCCTCCTCCAGAGGCAAAGATGGAGACTTACAGCCCTGAACTGGACATCAGTCTTGGTGAGGTGTGGCTAGCACCAGGTGACAGCTGCTCACACCTGCTGCTGCTAGCTGCCTGAGATTCCTGCTCTAAGTGAAGAAAGATAGGGAGTGGAGCCGAGTGCTGCCCTGTCCTGCCACCTTGGGAGGGGCCCAGAAGTCCCCACCACTCAGGGCTGATAACAGCTTGGCATGCATGTGCTAAGCATGGGTCTATCCACAGCACCGCAGAAGAAAATCAAGGAGGCCAGGAGCACAGTTCTCCCCGACAGGCTTCCTGACCTCTTGTTCGGAACAAGAGGTCCATGAACCTGGATGACAGTTCCATCCCAGGACACTTATAGCTCTGAAATCATCTCCCACATCCAGACGTGAACTTCATGCTACCCCCGTATGGGGTGTGCCAGAGAGCAGAGGACAGCAGGACAAGGGCATCAGTGCCCTCTTCAGCTCTGCACTAGTGTGCTGCTCCCTCGATGGTATCAAGGGGCTCATGGACACAGTAGTCTACCAACAGCCTCAGAATCAGAAAGACAAAAAAGCTAGGCACTGATAGCTCACACTCGTAATCCCAGTTACTCTGGAGGAGGCTGAGTTCAGAGGATTTTAATTCAAAACCAGTCTAGGCAGAAAAGTCTATCTCCAATTAATCAGCAAAAAGCAGGGCTGGAGGTACAACTCAAGTGGCAAGAGTACCAGCTGAGCAACCAAGCAAGTGAATAAGCCTAATGAGTGCGGCCATGAGCATAAACTGAAAGTCTGGTACTGAGGGAAAAAAATCAGAAGGCCAAACTGCTGTGTTCTGTGGCAAAAGCACCCCCAGGTCTGGCAGTTCTAGCTGAGACCCAGAACAACTTGGGCATTGGTGACGCCCCCTCCCCCCCCCCACAACCCTGGCCACAGCACAGAGCACTCCCCTCCCCCAGCGCAGGCTCTATTTGGCTCATGGTCACAAAGCTGTGACACTGGGCCTGACCACCTGAGGGCCCAGGTCCAGTTGAGGCCTGAGCCACAAACACCCCACCTCTGGTAAAACACTGAACCAGGACTCCTCTACCTTTCAGGGTCTCCAGGGCCTGAAGCAAGGCTCTGGGAACTGCCTGCCCAGTGCACTATCTGGCCTGCATGCGGGGCCCTGGGCAAGGGCCTCAAAAGCCTCCAGGAACCATAGGACCCTACACTGTTTCAGGGCCTCAAAAGCACTTAGTCTAAGTCAACTGGAATGAGTTTCAGCCAGCCATGGGGGTCCCGGGCCTCCCCCCTGGAGAACTCCAGTGAGCACTCAGCAGAGGGACCACGCGGTGCCCTGCCCATCCTGAGGGGCTGCCGTCATTTCCCTACCATCTCCTACCAAGCGGAGTTCTAGAAGGCCATGTGCATGTTTCTGGGGGGACTGGCTGGCCCCACAGGGCCAAGAGCAGGGAGGTGGGGGCACAAGTGGGCTTAGTTGTGCTCCTGGCCTCTGGGCCTCAGTCTGTGAGCAGCCCCCTGGCAGACCTGGCACACCTAGGTGCCTCTCCAAGGTCCCTGTGGCTGAATGGTTTGTAGAAGAGCAGAGCTCCTGCTGCATATAAAGCAGGCTGGGTATAAAAAAAAAAAGAGTCACTTTCCAGCAAGCCTGGTGGCAGCAAGGACCCAAGGGAGACCTCTAGGAAAGCCACTCAAGCCCATCAAGGCAAAGCCAGGCAATGCCATTGATGGCCCCTAGGGGGCACCTGTGAGCAAGGGAGGTGGGTGTAGCACTTTTTAACTATAGGCAGTTTAAGAGATGCCAGAGGGCTGGGAAGGTGGCTCAGTGGTAGAGCACTTGCCTTGCATGCATGAGGCCCTGGGTTCGATTCCTCAGCACCACATAAGCAAAAAAAAAAAAAGCCGGAAGTGGCGCTGTGCTCAAGTGGTAGAGTGCTAGCCTTGAGCTGAAAAGCTGAGGGACAGTGCCCAGGCCCAGAGTTCAGGCCCCACGACCGGAACCAAAAAAAAAAAAAACAAAAAACAAAGAGATGCCAGAAACTACAGACTCAGAGGACAAAACCTTACTGCTGTGTCATCCCATGTGGTGACGGGGGTCCACATCACGCTGTGACAATGGTCTGCAGTGCATTACACAATCAGAATAGTGAACTCTGCAGCTCCCAACACACACAAAAAAATGACACTTGAGGGACCCTGAGGTCACTCACACTGCAGGTTTCAAGTTACACCACCACCCACCACACGTAAGTCAACCATAGAAACATTTTGAGCCGGGCATGATAGTGCTAATGCTTCAGAAAAGAAAGGAAAAGGGCTGGGAAGGTGGCTCAGTGGTACAGTGCTTGCCTTGCATGCATGAGGCCCTGGGTTCGATTCCTCAGCACCACATAAGCAAAAAAGAAAAAAGCCAGAAGTGGCGCTGTGGCTCAAGTGGTAGAGCGCTGGCCTTGAGTTGAAGAGCTGAGGGACAGCGCCCAGGCCCAGAGTTCAGGCCCCATGACTGGACCACCCCCCCCAAAAAAAAAAGAAAAGAAAGGAAAAAACAAAAACTTTCTGGGGTTTGAACAAGAAGCTTCTCACCCCCAGTTAACTATGCTGCTGTTTTAATTCCCTCCCTCTATCACACCAAATTTGGTTCTTCCATTCAAAAATAATGACACAAGCCACTTGTCTGATCTTTCCAGATTTTTGTCACCACAGTAGCCAGTAATGGCTGTTGAGGGTCCTATCAGAGCCTGCCCTGGGTACATACGGATGTTCATTCATTCATTCATTCAATCAGTCAATCATTATTTCAGTGGTATTGGAGGGCTTGAATTCAGATCTTGGGTGCTGTCCCTTAGTTTTTCTCAGTGAAAGCTTATACTCTACTACTTGAACCACAGCTCTACTTCTGGCTTTTTTGGTGGCAAATTAGAGATAAAGAGTCTCATGGAGTTTCCTCCCCGGCTAGCTTCACATCAGTCCTCAATCTCAGCCTCCCGAATAGCTGGGATTACAGGAAGGAGGCACAGAATCCTGCTGTCTTATTCATTTTCTTCTAGGCATGGGGCCGTGGCCTGGTGCAGCCTGTCAGGAGCTGCACCTGCTTCCAGCCTAGACTTCCCCGGAAAACTCAATCCCTGGCCCGAGTTCCACTGGGATGGCCTTGCTCCCCTGGGACTTGAGTATTTTGTCCATCATACTTAGGTAGCTTCATTGACTTCCTACTGACAAATTCACTGATTTGATTTTTAGTCTTTAGAGACTCTGTAGCCTAGGCTGGCCTAGAACTCATCCCACTCACTACTCACGGCGATTGCAGGGTCCTACCTTGTTTCTGAAGTGCACCTCGATGGGCATGATGAAGCCAGCATAACCCGACTCCTCCACTTTGTAGGGGGGCTCCTTGCACACTGAAAAGAAAGGGAAAACCATCCATGAGCTTCCTGCTCCCATTGCCCCACCTCCCCTGGGGCTGGCTGGCATCTCTTGGTAAGGCCAAGCTCCCCAGGGAGAATGGCATGCATGCTGGGAGCCTGGGTAAGAGAAAGGTGATCTGCTGCCACCTGAGCCTTCAGTGAGTTGTGCAGGCAGGGGTAGGGAAGAAGCGAGGACCCCAGCAGGCCTCCCAGTTAGGCCAGTCCAGGTACAGGCTATAGCTGTACCGTGTCCCTGACTACCGCCCTCTAGCAACACCAGGCTCTGTGCAGGGCCGGGCACACAGGACATAAGGAGCTAGGTTTTGGGTTCTCTTCCCAGCTCCTTCTTTTGCACCTAACAACCACTTGCCCACATTGCTATGACAGAGCAGCACTACCCTCAAACACTTAAGAAAACAACAACAAAATCTTGAGCAAGAGTCAAGTACACATAAAATATGTCCATCATCTCATCCAAAATAAACCACATGCGTTGACATGTCGGCTGTCACTATGCAAATGCCATGGAAATATGGTTCCCAGCTCATAAGGAAAAAAAAAATCATAGCAGTAAAGAATCGGTGCCCTATGTCCCACCACCCCCCCAAAAAAAAACAAGGACCACTGGGGAAAGGAAGCCCCTCTGCTTGCTCATGCAGGTCCTAACACTTTACTGAGGCTCTTAGGCATGTGCAGCTGAGGGGTTAGCATGAATGTCTCTATGAGCATGCACCGAAGTGTACACATGTAAAACTTGCTGTGGTGAGCCTCTCAGTTTCCTCCCACCCTTTGGTTCCTGGGTCTGCTGGGAAGAACCCAGCACCAGAGCTCAGGTAAGCACACAAATGCCGACGACAGTGCTGTGCTCTCCTGCTGTGCTCTCCAGCTCCACACCGCAGTCACCCTGCACAACTGCAGGCTTTATTCCTTGTCATCACCTCCCAAACCATTTCACGGACAAGTAAGATCGTGTAGCGTTTACCCTCCTGTGCCTGCTCATCTCACCTAACAGAATGTCAACTGCTAGGAGGGCAAGCCTCCTTTCTAACTTTTTTATTGTTATTATGAAGGTGATGTACATAATGTGATGTAAGGTGATGTTTCATAAGTCAGGTAATGAGAATATTTCTCTTTGTGCAATGTCACCTTTTAGGAAGGTAATTCTTAAGGGAGTCAGAAACTGCTGGAAAACAATTAACTGGAACATAAGAAAACACAACTTCTTAAATAAAGCCATAAGATTTTTCTTTTTCTTTTAGGTCAATCGTGAGGCTTGAACTCTGGGCTTGGGCGTTATCCCTCAACTCTTCAGCTCAAGGTGGGTGCTCTACCACTTGAGCCACAGAGCCACTTCTGGTTTTTTGGTGGTTCATTGGAGATAAGAGCCTCATGGACTTTCCTGCTCAGGCTGGCTTTGAGCCACAATCCTCAGATCTCAGCCTCCTGAGTAGCTAGGATTACAGGCGTGAGCCACTGGTGCCCAGCTAAGATTTTTCTTTACAGAGGGAAAGAGTCTCTGATATTGACTTCTGTATTTCACATCTCTGAAGCATGGCAAGGGGGCCAGGCTGGAGTGACCAGGGCCTATGGCCCTTCTTCTAGGGTAAGAAAGTCCCTATGGCTCTCCCCTACTCTCTCTCACTGTCCTCCCCTGCGGCTGCCACCTTCCCTCAAAGCCCAGCTCTGGCCCAGCCTCCACAGGCTCCAGCCACTGCCCTGCCGTGTACAAGCCTACAGGAGTCTAACCAGCCAAGTGCTGTCACCACAGCAGGGTTTGCCCAAGAGTCAAGGTACTATGACACACACTGACCACACCTACCCACCCACCATTCACACCACTGCTCATAGTGGCAGGGCTAGACCAGTGGCCAAGAGGATAGCTCTAGCTTGGGCTTACTAAGGGGAAAGGGGGGAAGTGTTACTCTCCCATTGAGGGAAGGGAGGAAGAGCCCTGTCTGGGGCCAACCCTGAGCCAATGTTAGGAGCTACAGCCCAAGGAGAGCAGTGCCCATCTCCATCCTAGCCATCTCTTCCCCCTCCCTGATGGCCTCCTGGCAAGTAGTGAGGAGCTCAGATGTGGCCCTGCTCCAGCAGACTTCTAATGCACCCTGAGCTCTGCACATTCTCCACATTCTAGGATGTCCACTGCTCCCAAGGACCCGTAGCCACCCTGCCCCTGTTCTGCACTCACCTGTCACTGAGCTCTATCAAGGCGGCACCCAGCCCTGCTGGCCACTGAGAAGCATGGCTCACAGCCTCATACCACTACCTGGATGGGCACCTAGGCCACCTCTCGTTCCTAGGCAGCTCCACAGATGACTGGAATGGCCAGCCTGACTGTCCCCTGTGCCCCACCCCCAAAAAGCTCATCTCTCCACAGGCCCAGTCTCAGAGCCCCTTCCGCCCAGGACCCTCCCCAGGGCTCCAGTATCTGCAGGGCCTGCTCACCATCCCTGCTTCTCCATCGCCATTGCAGGCTGCAAGTCTGTCTCCCTTAAGCCTGGATGTAACACTTCTGTCCTCTCAAAAGCACTCAATAGATACCCCATAGTGCCACCCTATAGGCCACACCCCTGTCAGGTAGTCCAGGCCATGGTCAGCTACGGCCCAACTCCACCAGCCAACAGCGTCCATCCAACTGTTCTTGGTGCAACCTGACACAGGACTGGATACCCCCTGACCGCCATCCAGACACTTCAGCCTACACAGAAGAAGGATGGCAGAGTGGCACAGGCAGCAAAGGTGGCCCCTGCTCACACTGTGGTTCCCAGAGGAGATCCAGAAAGGTAAGAGCCTGGGATGGCACCCACACCCCAAGCCATACCCACCGTATCCCACCTGCCATTAAGATCCCATCAGTACCAGCTCCTAGCAGGGATAGGCCCAGGTTCTTTGGCCTCTGACCTCAGGCCAACTGCTTCTGCTGGGGGCTGTCATCTTTGCAAATCAATCAGTCATACCTTGTCTTATCCCTCTTCAGGTAGGGACTACCTGTATTTCTCCAATTCTCTCCAGAGGCCTAGTCTTCCAAGACTGGGGAGCATGTAACCATCCAGGGATGGCTAAGAAATGGGCGGACTTCCAGGGCAGCGGGGAGAGCTGAGCCCAGCTGCAGCATGGACGTGCAGAGCTGAGGGAGGAAAGGTGGGGCCCAGCGATCTCCAGCAGACCGCCTGCAGCGAAGTGCACAAGGCAATGGGACCCAGAGGACAGCCCTGGTAGTGAAGCTCCTGAGAGCAGAGCAGAAGGGAGGCACAATGGGAGTGGCCACATGGCAGGCAGGGGGCTAGATGATGCTGATAGAATTAGTGGTGCTGGCTAAACAACCCCATGACTATGCCAGGCACTAGCCGTGTGGAATGAAAGGTGAGCTTGCAACCTCAGTGAGCATCGTCTTGTAAAAGGCAAACTAAGAGCTGTGCTTAGAGCAACAGCCCTGGAGCTCCAGAGCCTCCACCTACTCCAGCCCAGCCAGCATGGGGAAAGCCAGATGGCTCCATGTCTTGAGAAAGAGGAGGCAGTGGTCTGGAGGGAGGGAAAGCGTAAGGTACAGGAAGTAGTCCTCAGTAATAACTGGGAGGCCCGGCCCATACAGTACAGGAAGAGAGAGGAAGAAAGCTCCCTCAAGGAAGACAGTCTTCCTAGGATAAAGAGGACTGCAACTTGAAGAGGGGAAAATCACACAAAACCAGGCTGAGAGCATCTATGTAGAGTGCTAGCCTCAACATTTAAAAGAAAAAAGCAGAAAATCACCCAACAAATAAAAACAAGACGGGCTGGGCTCTGGTGGCTCATACCTATAATCCTATTCAAGAGGCTGACATCTGAGGATCCTAAATAGAAGCTAGCCCAGGCAGGCAAATCTAAGACTTTTTTTTTTTTTTTTTGGCCAGTCTCGGGGCCTGAACTCTGGGCCTGGGCGCTGTCCCTCAGCTCTTCAGCTCAAGGCTAGCACTCTACCACTTGAGCCACAGCGCCACTTCCGGCTTTTTTCTTTTTTGCTTATGTGGTGCTGAGGAATCGAACCCAGGGCCTCATGCATGCAAGGCAAGCACTGTACCACTGAGCCACCTTCCAAGCCTCTGAATCTGAGACTCTTATTTTCCCAATCCACCAGGAGAAAAAACAAACTGGAGGTGTAGTCCCAACTATAGGTAAGAAAGCTGAAGGAGAGCAAGGCCCTGACTTCAAGCCCCAATGCAGGCCCCAAAACATAAACCAGGAATGAGCTAACTAGTGAGATGGGAAGAAATGACCCACCTGCAGATGGAGCTGGCTGACAGCAGCCGCCCCGTGGGGCTCGTGCAGTGCCCTCTCTCCCCACACCCATTTTAGACACAACTGTTCATATTTCCACACAAGGAGAGGGCAGCAGGAGAAAGGGGACAAAGCACCCCAGGAAGAAAAAACAGACATACACGAGAAGGCCATCACAGATCTAGAAGAAAACCTTCTGGAGCCAGGAGAAAGACAGTACATGTCACAAAACACAGCAAGCAGAACCAAAGTCCCAGAAGCAGCAAATGCCACCCAGATCATCCCTCATGCTCCTGGAGACACAGGGCCCAGCAGCCTTAGAAGTGGCACTGTCAAAGCTCCAAGTAAGCTGGGCATTGCTGACGCACACCTGTAATCCTAGCCACTCAGGAGGTTAAGATCTAAGGATTGGGGTTTGAAGCCAGCCCAGACAAGAAAGGCCCTGAGACTCTTATCTCTAACTACCACAAAAGCCGAAAGTGGAGCTGTGACTCTAGTGTAGAGCATTAGCCTTGAGCAAAAACAAAACCAAAAAACTCAGGGACAGTGCCCAGGCCCTGAATTCAAGCCCCCCAGGACCTGCACAAAAGAAGAAGAAGAAAAAAAAAAACAGTTCTAAATGACACACAAGCCAACCACTGCACGTCATGAGTCAGAATAATGGCATCTTCCCACGTGCCAGCACTCGGCAGCCTGGCCTGCAGCCCCCTTGGGAAATTTCCTAAGTAATTAACCTCTTGGGGTAGCACTGAAGAAATCACTCTAGTAAAGGAGGAAATAAAGCAAAACAAAGGGAATAGATAAATCCTTCCCAGTGGGGAAGTGAAGATGAGGCCCAGGTGATGGCCAGGGAGGAGGTCCCAGGATGATTAGAGGAAGATGGGGAAACTCAGTGGGCTAAAGAGGTGAAGAAAAACATAAAACATGCTCCACAGAAGAAATGATTATGATGAAGAAGAGGGAAGATGAAGACCTAATGGAGATACACAAAAGGGAGAAGCAAAGGTGATTCAAAACCAGCCAGGCAGAGTAGTACCCTTCTATAATCCCAGCTACTCAGGAGGTTGAAATCTGGAGGATCACAATTCCAGGTCAGCCGTGGCAAGTTATTGAGGCCCACATCTCAGAAAAGCCAGGTGTGGTATCATACTAGGGAGGAGCATTGCAGTCCAAGACTGGCCCCAGGGCAAAAATGCAAGATCTTATTGAAAAAATAACTATCCTGGGCTGTAATGTGGCTTAGTGGTAGAGTGCTTGCCTAGCATGCATGAACCCTGGGTTCAATCCCTTAGTACTACATAAACAGAAAAACCCAGAAGTGGTGCTGTGGCTTAAATGGTAGAGTGCTAGCCTTGAGCAAAAGAAGCTCAGGGACAGTGTCCAGGCCCTGAGTTCAAGCCCAAGAACTGGTAATAATAATAATAATGATAATAATAATAATAACTACCCAGGCACTGGTGGCTCACGCCTGTCATCCTAGCTACTCAGGAGGCTGAGATCTGAGGATCACAGTTCAAAGTCAGCTCAGGCAGGAAAGTCTCTATGAGATTCTTTTTTTTTTTTTT